CTACCTACCTACCTACCTACCTACCTACAGACCCACTGACCCACCTACCGACCTACCTACCTATAGACAGACAGACAGACAATATATAGGCCTATTTAAGCACGCGCGCACACACACACAGAAACACACACACACCCACACACACACACACACACACACTCCCATATTATATACTATATCTTTCCGTTGTCCTAACTATTTATTCAATTGTTTCTTCTCCAATAATGTTTTAAAATCTTCCTTTTCTTTTTTCCCACACAGACCCCCCTCCAGAGGCCCCTGAAATCTACATTACTAGGCCTAATCAAAATCAATCTGATGAAAAGATACAAAACTTGTCCAGTCCTGTCCCCCCGGCCCAAAAAAAAAAAAAAAGCGAACAAACTAACAAACCAAAAAACAAACTTATTCACAACCAAGGAAACAACAAACCTCAGAAATCCCACTGTGCAAGCTGACGGATAGATTGATTGGTGGAAAGGTGAAGGGATGGGTGGATGAAAGAATAGCTTAATCATTGGATGGATACTTCACGATATAACGACAGACTGGCATTTAGAAGGGCAGATTAACTCAATCTTCCCGTGCTCCCCCCCCCCACCCCCCCCAACAAAAAGTAGGTTACCTTAATCTTCACCAGTTTCCCTCCCATGGATTACACTGTTTAATCTTCACCTGTTTCTCTCCCCTTCATTAGCTTAATCTTCACCTGTTTCTCTCCCCTTCATTAGCTTAATCTTCACCTGTTTCTCTCCCCTTGTTGTTGTTGTTGTTGTTGTTGTTGTTGTTGTTATCGATCCAGCAACAGCTGGGCTCTCGCCCTTCTGTCCAATGCCATGTAGTGATAAGTGCAGGTCTGCTGCAGTTGCTGTAATGTTCCATAGAGTGTGTTGTCTATGTTAGGTCTCGTAGGGAGAAGGGTAGCTCTGATGTCATTTAGGGCTGTGCAGTGGAACAGGTGATGCTCCACAGTCTCATATGCATAGTCACACAAGGGACACATTGGGGGAAGTTCCGGGTTTATTCTGTTCAGGTGGAAGTTGAGCTGTATATGTTCTGTTCGTAGGCGGAAGATCGTGGTCTGTTTCTTTCTCTGAAGGCGGTTGATATTGTCATTCCTTTTTGTTGTGGTCATATGTTTGAAAACTGCTCTGCCTGTCTTTCCCAGGGCTCATCTGTTCTCTCCCCTTCATTAGTATAATCTTCACCTGTTCCTCTCCCCTTCATTAGCATAATCTTCACCTGTTTCCATCCCATGGATTATTTTAATCTTCACCCATTTCCCTCTCATAGATAAGCCTAATCTTCTTATGCCTCCCTTACTTACATTAGCTTAATCTTCACTGGCATCTTTGGTGTAATGATAAGGTACATTATTGTTGCATTCAGTAGACCTGAGTTCAGTTCCCGAGTGAGGAGAAATTTTTATCGAATATATATCTCGGTATTTTTGTTGGGATGTTGAATCCTTCTCAATTCAGGTTAACCATGACGTGCAGGTCTGGAGCCTGCCTCCTAAATCACCTAAATTGTGTTGATGGGGGCATAAGAAAATTCTACATGTTTTGGTTTTTGTTTTAAAATTTAATCTTCCCATGTCTCCGTCCCGTACAGTCCCACCCCGAGTGTGTGCCGATGTGGAGATGGTCGTGGGGTTTGGATCACTGGGCAAAGACGCCATCATCTCTGTCTGTGTCATCGCCTTCCCTGAACCTAATGACATACGACTGTCTCGTGATGGAAGTTAGTCCTTTATTTCCTTTGGTTATCTATACTGCCGTCGTAAGGGAAAACGACGAATGGTCCTGCGCAGGAAGCGAGGCAAATTTTTCAGGAGAGGCAAAAACAGTTTTCACGTTATAACTCTTCTATTTTTCACTCTTTCAAGCTGTAATTCACCAGATATCTGATTGAGGTGTTCATAAAGCAGTTTCTAAAGTTTGAATGGTTTAGGTTATAAAGTAGCAAAGTTATTCGACATTCGTCATTCTCCCTTACACTGCGCACCCACAGGTGAACCTTGCGATGTAAGCGAAAACGACGAATGGTACAGTTCGTCGTTCTCCTTTACACTCGTGAACGTTTATGGGCGTAGGCGACGGTCAGTTGTGATGCATTGATGACAGTAATAGCTGTGTACTGGTTATTACAAATAAAAATAAGACACATACAAACTAGCTATTATACGTATAAAGTTAGGTGTTTGTTATATCCCAACTGTAACTCGGTAAACGTCCTTCTTTTCCCTTCCTCGCTTTGTTAAATACTACACAGTCAGTGTTCAAATCAGATGTGCACACATTTTCAACAGCTTGATTTAAAACTGTCTCATTCGGAACCAAAGTTTGGTTTCCATGATATCTCTCTATTGCATTCTCTTCAGAAGTGAGTTTTACTTTTATTTTCGCCAACTGCAAAATTTTCCCTGCACGACCAAAGGAATCAACAATGTTACAATGTCAATAATACGATCAGATCATTGCAAAGTCAAACTTTCACGTAAGAAATGTAACAATCTGACAAGACTGCTTCACAAACGCTTTCAGGAGAGGTAAAGCGACGCTTTGTATTTAATAAAGGATTCAGTTGATCGGATCGGAAAACATACCACAAAGTAGAGATCGACAAGGACAGTTTAAATCTGAAAGACATTATTATACTCGATCGTAACGTCCATCAAGTCATAAAAAATCGTAAAGCAAGACTAAGTGTACGTCCACTTTTTAAGTTGGACTAAGAAATTTACTCTCATAATGCAGTGTCATTAATTGCTTGGTAATTCTGTAACGATGTCGACCAGTGACACGTGCTAGACAAATTGCGGCACTATAACCATCGTTGGGATTTGGGATGTCAAATGACTGGACAGCAAACTAACCTGACGTTAGTCTGTGAACATCTGGCGGACACTAATATGCAGTGCTAATAAATTTCTCCCTGAATACTTTTTTGATCCTCCCATCCCCACCCCTTTCCCCCTGTTCCTATCCGTTTTCCCCTCTCTCCCGCCTGCTCTTGTCAATTCACACATCAGCATAGGCCTAATACGGGAAGACAGACAGAAAGACACACTAAGTGATACATTCTTATAACCCTGGTCGATTCTACTGTGGGGGAAGGGGTTGTGGTGTATTTGTTTGCAAAAAACCTAGTATGTTTGTACTGACGCAACAGTGACCAATTGTCATTTGTCGCCCATGCCGAATTTGCCCAACGGCAGAGACCAGAGGACAACGCCGAACGAGCAGTGATCCTTGAACGATCGACCATTCGTCGTTCTCCCTTACACTGAGCTCTGGCTCGGAGCTCGCCAGTGTACGGGAAAACGACGAACTCTCAATTACGCAACAACGGATTAGGATATGACAAAACTTTCTACACCATTAGATGCAGCATTAAATACTCTATGAAATATATAAAAATACCAAAATCGAAAAATTTTGACCATTCGTCGTTTTGCCTTACGACGGCAGTATACGTAAAGGGTGCACAGTTATGTTAAGGAGTCGGAAGTCACTGCAGTTTAATTTTCAGTTTTTCATTAGTTTCGTTTAGATCTAATCTTTGGAAAGTCCGTCTTCTAAGACGTCATTGTAAACAAGTGAGGTTTCTGTTCACTAGCTGTGCTCACTGATTCCACACCTTTGAAATTCTGGAATGTACAACCACGAAAGTGGAATAGAGAATCAATCTATACATCACTATATCTAGACCATCTAATTTGTTGCATCTCTCAAGATTTATTGCTCCGTTCCATTATAGTGTAAATATAGTCTACGTAGGCCAAAGACTTTCAATTGATGTTAATGCACTGATCATTCCTTTCATCAAAAGGGGGTCCAGCTAGTTTGAATTATAATATTAGACTGGGCACTGTCATAGCTGCCCATAGACTTGAATTATAACCCTAGACCAATTACAGGGCTTGAATTATGTGTTCAGGTGGGCAGGCAAAAATTTCCTTGGTGGGGCCTAAAAATCAGAGGACACCGAGGCAATTTGCTAGGGCATCAAGGCAAAAATTATAGGTTGTCATTTTGTTGATTAAAGTTTGTAATACTGGATCGTGCATCACAATGTTTATAAGTAACAATACAATTTATTCTTGCTCTCTACAAAAGTATAGATTTACTGGGAAATTTGCAAAATCATGAATGATAACTAAGTAAATCACAGTAAAATCACATAAAAACAAAAGCATTAAAGATCACAGTTTTAAATCAAATAATGATCAAGATTGCTTCTGACTTAAATGCCTTCATGATTAGCTCTTATTGATTGGATTAATATGAATGAATATGAATTTTGGCAATAGGGCACGATAGAAAACAGTAGGCCTAAGTAATATGACCAATTAGGTAAGACATTAATCATTATTGAGATTCAAACAGAGTGGTTTACAGACAGTGTAGTGATAAAATAAAAACAAATCATGGGAAATGAAAACACATTTTTAACTTGTTTGAAAAAGAAAAAATGAGGAGTGAAAACAACTTATGAACTGGTATAGAAAAAAAAGAATGAGTAACTAATAAAAACTGCTGTCTAGCAGTTATACAGTAGATTCTATGAGGTTATGACTATGATAAGTGAAAACAAGTTTTGAAAATACATGTTTTAAAGTATGTTATATATAAAAAGACCTAAAAAATCAGTATGTCATATTATGACTTATGACTAGATCAGAATATTGAAAATATGTTGGCACAGACAAATATAGAAAAAGACTGGCTTACTGTTTGTCCCTTAAGGGAAAAAACAAGTGATTTTAAAAAAGTATCACCAGAGAAGATGATTTCAGAGAATAGTGCTGTTTTATCAGGACATCTATTTGTGAGACACATCTCTTGCCACTTGGCAATGCAGAGTTCTGGATGGAATTCTTTGATCTCAGGACCATTGGGACATATATAAGCATGATCTTTTCAAGAATGTCTCTAGAAAGCGAATGCCTCCAGTCACCAAGGAGGCACCATATCAAAGAAAACTGCCTTTCTACCTCAGCTGTGGATGATGGCATAACAGAGATTATATGAGCCAAATGAGACAGATTTGGAAATTTCCTTCGTTTTTTTCTTAAACTTGTCTTGTTCTCATTCAGAGGTATTAAGCCCTGACTTTCGGAGAGAAACATGAGCCACTCTTTCTTTATTTTCGGTGTTGAGCATCCTTGGTGTTGAAGCACAGTCTCATATTGAGCTATCAAGTCATCCATCTGTGTCTCAACATGTTCTTTCAGCTCATCCATTTTCTCAGTTCCTGGTACACTTGTCTCGTCAAATATCCTTGCACTCTTCAAAGCTTTATCTTCTGATGTGGCAGAAAATCTTTCTTGCAAGCACAGCACCAGCTTATCCAACATATCTTTGGTTTGTTTGTAATCATCACACTTGCTCTTTCTCTCACATCTACAGTCTTTTTTTTCATCCAGAGCTTTTTTCAGACCCTGCTGAGGTTTGGCTATCATTAATGTGAGTGTGTTTGCACTAGCCATGACAAAATGGACACAATGGTCAAGCTGAGCAGTGTCTGACTCAAGTTTGGAGGAGATTTCAGACAACTCTGACAGGATGTCTTCATACACCCCTCCCCCAGGAGTGTTTCTTAAGTTGTGATGCTAATGCGCAGGTTCACTGACCGGTCAGGGTGACAAACCCAACAGGACACTTGTATAACTTTCTTTTCTTTTCTTTTTTTTTCCACAAGTGACACCTCCGGACAAATATTAATTTATTTTCATGGCGTCACATTTTTAAAATAAAAAAACAAGGGCATGGCAAAAATTGCTGTGGTTGACCCTTTGATTTTAAGGGCATTACGGCAAATTGCAAAGGCACCCAGGCAAATTGCAGCAGTGCAGCGGTCTATTTAAAGCCCTGCAATTAGTCCTTAATTTCTTGTGATGGCTTTTTGGATAGACTTGAATTATAGCAATATCCTAGACTGGCACTGTTATGACTGCCCATAGACTTGAATTATAGTAATATCCTAGACTGGCACTGTTATGACTGCCCATAGACTTGAATATAAGAAAGAAGGAGCAAACCACACCAGAGCACCCACCAACCACCCACAATCTGAATCTGACGCTTTCAAATGGGAGAAAAAATGGAGGTAAACATAAAGGGAAGATACCTCATTAATAATTAGGGGAGAGTGTGGAGAAGTGGAGTTGTGAAAAAAAACCGAAATCACTTAAAAACGAAAATCAAAACAAAGGACAAAATGCTTTATATCAATCTAAACAACATTTATTGTGTTTAAAAACCAGTTATAAGCGGTACAACAGAGGGAGAATGAAAATGGTTTTATAGGGTTCTGAAGTCAATATTACAAGTGGGGAGAAGTGGGACATGGGTGGGGAGAACTGGATCCTCCCTATGGGGAGAAATGCCCCCCCCC